CCTTTCTCCATGGAGAACTCACAGAAGAAGTCTACATGGATATCCCACCAGGATATGTTACATCCACTCATGCTAATGTGGTATGTAGATTACGCAAGGCATTATATGGATTGAAGCAGTCTCCCCGGGCATGGTTTGGGCGTTTTACATTGGCAATGAGGAATTATGGTTTTAAGCAGAGTAATTCTGATCATACTCTGTTCTTAAAGCACAAGGGAGGAAAGGTAACTGCTCTAATCATTTATGTCGATGATATGATTATTACTGGAAATGATACGCAGGAAATTTCTCGACTCCAAAAATGTTTGGCAAAGGAGTTTGAAATGAAGAATCTTGGTGGTCTCAAGTACTTCTTGGGGATTGAAGTTGCTCGATCAAAGCAAGGCATATTTCTCTCACAAAGGAAGTATGTTCTCGATTTATTGGCCGAAACAGGAATGTTAGATTGCAAACCTGTGGACACTCCAATTGTTTAGAATCACCACCTTGGGGAATATCCCAATCAAGCACCCACTAACAAGGAACGATATCAAAGATTAGTGGGACGATTGATCTACCTGTCCCATACCCGACCCGACATCGCGTATGCTGTAAGTGTTGCTAGCCAGTTTATGCATTGTCCAAGTGAAGATCATATGGATGCGGTTTTTCGGATTTTGAAATATTTGAAGTTTGCACCAGGAAAAGGACTTCTGTTCACCAAAAATGGTCATCTGCATATCAGTGGCTATACAGATGCAGATTGGGCAGGAAATGTCACTGATAGACGATCAACATCAGGGTACTTCACATTTGTGGGAGGTAACTTGGTTACTTGGAGGAGCAAGAAACAGAATGTCGTTGCTTTGTCTAGTGCAGAAGCCGAATTCAGAGGAATGACCAAAGGAATTTGCGAACTCCTTTGGTTGAGGAAATTGCTTACAGAAATTGGATATGCACCTACATTAGGAATGCATCTACAGTGTGATAACAAGGCTGCAATATCCATTGCACACAATCCAGTTCAACATGATCGCACTAAACATGTTGAAGTGGATCGACACTTCATTAGACAGAAACTTGACAACAAAGAAATCCAACTTCCGTTTGTCAAGTCCGAAGATCAACTGGCCGATATATTGACAAAAGCAGTTTCTAGCAGAGTATTCCACAACTCACTGATCAAGTTGGGCATTGGTGACATCTATGCACCAACTTGAGGGGGAGTGTTGACAATGTTAGTTAAGTTAGGCAAGTCATAGTTAGGCAAGACATAGTTAGGCATGTTTACATTTCCTTGTCTACCACCTTTCCTTGTTTTAGGGAATACTTTTCTTGGGTAATGTAATCCTTGTCTTAGGGGGAATGTTTCATGGAATGTTTCATGGAATGTTTTAGGGTTATTACATGTATATATGCTTTGATGTGTAATAGAATGAAAGTAAGTTGAAATCAGAAAATATGCAAAGCTTCCAAATTCTCTACACTCTCCACTATCTCTACTCAACCTTCAATATCTCCTCCTAAATTTGACATATATATATATATATATATCACGAGTTTAATTACATGTAACGAGTTATTCTTCCTTATAAATCATATGAAAAAAGAATGACAAGAGAGTATGTATGACTTACTTTCCTTAGCGTAGCCAAGCAAAGACAGCGCTTGACATAGCTTAAATATTCCGGGGGAAGAACAGTGAGGATCTCCACATGACCATTTTTGTTTTTTTGAAGTTCTCGATGTACATTTTCCATGATCCTTGTTTTCATGGTCTTAGGGAAGCCATGTTCAGATAACCACAATTCTACCTCAAGACCTTTCATTTTCGTCTTCCGTCGAAGCTTTTCTGATGTTGTGGTTGACAACTGCATATATGTCTGCTCCACGCAATAAGTTTGTTCATCAAATTTTGATCCTTTGAAGGAAATTAAACCAGAAACTGAGATCCCAGGACACCTATACATGTATAGCTACTACTGAAAATTAAAAAAATTAAAAAAATTAAAAAAATTAAAGGCTAACTTAAGCCTAATTAAATAAACAAATTTATATATTCAGTATGTACTAACCTGTAAATTTCCAATGAGATATAGAAATAGTAAGAGACCAATTATAGAAATAAAAACTGCAAATAGGTTTTCCCACGCGTAGGTGCTAGTCTTAAGGTTTTGAGACCAAAAGAACTGCAGTAATGAAATGATGAAACTTTTAGAATAGATAACATATATACATTTTATTTAGGACAAACGATATTATACTTTAATTTAATCTAAACTACAGTGAAGAGAATTCAAAATCGAGTGCAGAGGGGGATCACATCTGCTTTAGCAAACTTGACTAAACTCATATGCATGCAAGATAACATATTTTTGTTCATGACGTTCTCAGAAATCAGAACTATTTGTTAATTTTTGATGACTCAGTAAATTCATTTTTTCATTAATTGTTGTAATACTATTCAAATGCAAGAATTAAGATTATATATATTAAACGATAATTATAGGTACAAACCTCAGATTTAGTAGACCCCACCAAAAGCAATACAAAAACTTCTCTGGAAAATCTGTCGACTGTAACACGCCAGACTGAATGGCATCTTTAAATATACCAAAATCGAAAAAAGTTGCATTTGATGGATTTATAGGGCATAAATCATTTAAAACTGTGATATTTCTCGGTGAAGGGTCATCACATACACAGCTAAAAGTATTAGGTTCACATCCTTTTTCACTTCGACATGCATATTGCCAACAAACTGTCTCTCGTTGAATTGCATAAAAATACCAAATAGCTCCGATTACCTATAAGAACAAAATGGTTAGTCAATGATTATTGGATTTGGAGTTGAGAAAAAACTACATTTGAATTGAATTGAAAGATATTTAAACAAAAAATGTAACTTCATTTTATTTCAATTTTTTGAGCATTTAAAATTAATTAAGATAATATTGAAACTTACATGACTGGCAAGGATGTACAAGAAGAAATTGAAAAAACTTTTGACCCATATGCCCGGCTTTTTAGCAGTCTTCTTACGTTCATGACACAATCGGTAGATGGGAAGAACTCGTGGCAAATATTGCAACACAACAAGAAAATTTAGAAACTTCATTGTTTTCGATGATCTTGAGCCCCTCATTTTTGAAAAGATGGAAAGTACTACCTGGAAATAAATAAGGGGGACCATTAAGGCAATTGTTAAATCTAATTATTGTATGACAAATGTTTGATTAATGAGTATGAGAGTTAAAACCTAAAATCTAAGCTCATACGGCTCTAAAGTAATCAACCATGACAAATAGAGGAATTGGGAAATAAATCTACCTCACATATAAAACTTAACCTTATACCTGTGGGACGGGTAGAACAGCTAAAATGTCAAGTAGGATGTAAGATTGCAAAATCCTCTTAGCTTTTGCCAGAACATTCATACTCATGGATTTACTTCTTTTCAAAGGAACTCCCTCCTCTGCTTTTGTTTTCCTAGCTTTAGGTCTAGCTAAAATCCGATGCATCGGGTCGGCGATGTAGAAGAGATCTGTTAACGATCGTAAAGCAAAGGATATTGCCTTCAACCTTTTGTCCAATTTGAGGCACTTCCTATCCTCCTTAACTATAGGGATGTAAAAGAACAAAGGATCTAGTAAGACAGCCAACACACATGATACTACAAATATGGTGCTCCACCATTCTTGAAGGAATGACTTTGGTTGATCAGGATATTCGATGACAGATGACGAAACTATTCTCCAAAGCTGGATAGGTCTTTGTTGGATCGAACGTTGTTCACCACTGAAAAAAGACAAAGCAAATAATGTATTGCTCCCACTAGGTAGAAGAAACATGAAAAAATCATCATTGAGGCTTTTCTCGTATGTAACTATATGTCACTCAATGAGAGAGATAGATACATAAATGTCATGGAATTGTCCCATAAAAGTTTTACTCGTGAAGAAAAGAGTTGCACTAGGACCGCCCATATTTAAGAGTTTCATGTTGTTAGTAGGCAATTCAGGAATCTTTTTAATTTTTAATTTTTTCTGAATTCTTTCTTATAAAAAAAAGAAAAAGGGATATGGTATAGAGCAATGTACATTGTGAACGTTATGGATAAAATTCTAACCTGGCAGTGGCAGGTTTCTCTTCCACATTTAAACGTGTTTCTTCTTTCCCATTAGCCATGACCTAACCACTAAAGCTTGTTTATGATGCACCTAAGGAGCTTTTTAAAATCCCACAAAGTTCTGACTATGTTGAATCCTCCCTGCAAAAATACAGAACTGAAAGTTAGAATATTTATAAATTGGACCAACCTGGCTGCTTTCATTAGTATGCCTTCATGAAGATCTAGCCATTTTCTTTAATGAGTTAACATCTAAACAAATCAAAACACAGAACTACTGAGTGTTATACTACTTAAATTAAAATAACAACTTGCAAGAGAACGAAGATCTGGCCAATTATACTGCGTAAGCACGATGATGAATTTCTTTATAGGAATAAGGGTGCCTTAAATTAAAAGGTATACCATCCTCTCTCCCTTCCCATTTTGGACTGAGGATGGTATACCTTTTCTTATAGGCATCTAAGCCTTACATATAATAAGTAATGAAGATGGTATATATCAAATTTAAAGCCCTGTGAACAAGTACATACCTTGCTTGCTTGCAAGAAGTTCTCTAGTTAAAGTTAAAGCCAGGGATGTGATGGGCATATTTTATATTATATATTTAACCCTATTCTTAGTATATTTTGGTTAATATTTTGGAAGAATTTTGTTACTTTGAATTATATTTTCAATATAGGACTTTCGACTTCCTTTGGAGCAAAACATAATCAAATGGATGAATTTTGGAGTAATTCCAGTTGGAGGACGGTCGTGAGTCACTTAGCTTGATCGTATCAAGATTTCAGATTTTTCTACCTAGTGGTTATTCTCTGGCAATAAAATAAAGGAGCAGTGCGCGGTGCTGGAATAGTGACGGTTTGGGCCTTTATTGCGTTTTGGAGCCCAAGATGACCTCAGATGGGTTCGTGGCCTTCTGGAGAAGTGTTCAGAACGTTTTTATCTTTAAAACAAGCTATCTTGGGCCAGTTTTGGAGGAGATTTGAGGCCAAAACGTGGCTGGGCAGAGTGTGGACAGATTCTCCTAATCCAATTTGGATTTTATATCCTAGTATTATTTTATTTTAACCTAGTTTCCTTGTGGGGATGAGGAGCTGGGTTTTAGGAGGTATTTAAGTTATTTTTCACAGCAAATTTAGGACCTTTCTTTTGGCTTTTGAACGCGACTTTGCCTAGGGTTTTTTAGGAGCTTCTACTTCCAGGTGTTTTTATTCTTATTCATTCGAATGATATTTTCTTGGGTTTTAGTTATGATTATGCGCAACTAATTCCTTTTGCTAGGGCGAGGCCATAAGTCTTAGCATGAATATGTAATTTTATTAATTTGCTTATGAATGGATGCACGCTTACTTTGAATTATTAATCACTGCGATTAAAACTATCTATCTATTTTAATGACTTATCACCATTAGGATATTTAGACAAGTAATTTGATGCAATTTCTGTTGGAACATCACCCTGAAATTGAGGAGGGCTTCTTGTGATTAGTAGTTGTAAGTTCACTTAAGGCGAACATCACACTTTTAAGGGTTGCATGGTTTTTCAAAGGGTTTTCACAAAGCTTAATGAGTCTTGCATGTTTATATTTGATCTGAACATCACAGACGGATTGCATGTTAGATATACGTTTTTGCTTGAACATCACAAGGAGAATATACATTAGGAAAACCTAACCTTCAAAGCAAATATGTGGAAATTCATAAGTAATTGATAGAGTTGCATAGGATTGTGATGGCGACGGCTAAACCCTAGTTTCTCTCTATATTGTTAATTTTAAAAAGTTTTTATTCTCTGCTATTATTACCTCCCAACTTTCAGATTTCCTTTATTGTCAAGTTAATCTTTTCAAATTCATAAATTTCACATCTTTGATAAAATCTATTTTAGTTATTAATTAAGAGTTAGTTTTATTACAAATTAGTCAAACAATCTTTGGGGACAACGACCTTGCATGAGAATCTATACTACAATATCCTTGTATTCTTGCAAGTATTTTAAGTGATTTTAACCCTGTTTGCGCAGGTACTAAAAATCCTATCAGGATGCATTTTGTAATGATTAGTTTCTTTTTTGAACTAGGGCATATATCCCTCGTCATGTCATTTCGACAGCTGCTTACTTTTTAACCGGTGTGAAACACATGCGCGATCAATTTTTTAAATTCCGTTCATGATCAAGAAAGGAATTATGACGCAACTAGGCCATGCATAAAATCCTTGCGTAAGCAATGCTTGCTTCGGCTACACATGTGTGATTTGTAAAATAGGATCCTCTACTATAGGCTATAGCCAATTAGGAAGGCTATCACGTTGACTGCATGTAATGTTTTTGTCTTCATTGCAGTCATTATTGTAATTATAAAGCTTAATATGGAAGATCAGATTGACTTGTACTTGACAAGCAATGAAAAGCTATAGAAACAGAGGAACCGAGAGATGAAGAAGAAGACTCTTTATTTCATTGCTTTTCTGAACAGAATGAATAGCACATTTTTATATTTAAGTGAAAGCTCATCTTTCTTACAGAATTGGGACAACTGACACGGACCGAGTTTTCATTGGCAAGGCTGCAGGCTTCTCCGCTTTCTTGCGGCGACGAAATGATCTTTGCGAGTTTATAACTGCCAATTCTTTCAACTGCAGCATCTGAGAGTCAGTCAAATTGTTGAGATCGATTCCCTTGGTAAATTGCCACCAGAAATATCTAAGGACCACATTCTTTAAGTCCTCGGCCGCGAGAGCAAATGCTTCAACTCTTGTAATGGACCTTACATTTTTATCCGAGATGGGTAACTCAGTGGAGGGGGGAAATTTTGATGCCCAACTTATCACTTCTTCTCCATAGAAATCACCTTGCTTAATATGCTTAGGTGTTGTGTGATCCTTTTTTCCTCCGTTACTAGTTGTGTAGCTCCGAACAGTCCCTTGCGTGACCAAGAGTATCATATCAAGGGGCTCTCCCTCTCGAATAATAAAACTATCCTTAGCATAGATCACTGGCTTAAAATGCTCACAGATTCCTTTCAACTCTTCCAATCCTTCGATGTCTTTAAGCTTCGGAACCTATATATATAACGAGTTTAATTACATGTAACAAGTTATTCCTCCTTACAAGTCATAGTACACACCAGAAATGAATGCTCATCAAACCAAAAAGTATATAGAAAGAAAAGAGAAATCACAGGGGAGTGCATATGTAACTTACTTTCCTCAGCGTAGCCAAGCAAAGACAGCGCTTGACATAGCTTAAATAGTCCTGGGGAAGAACATAGAGGATCTCCACATGAACATTTTTGTTTTCTTCAAGTTTTCGAAGTATATTTTCCATGATCCTTGCTTTCATGTTCTTAGACAAGCCATTTTCCGATAACCACAATTCAACCTCAAGACCTTTCATTTTCATTTCCCATCTTAGCTCTTCTGATGTTGTGGTTGAAAACTGCATGTATGTCTGCTCCACACACAAGTTAGTAGGAGACAAATACAAATAAAAATAGAAAAAAAAAGGTTTTAACTAAGGACTTAAGCTTAAAAAAAGAAACAAATATATATATATTCAGAACGTACCAACCTGTAAATTTCCAATGAGATATAAAAATAGTAGGAGACCAATTATAGAAATAAAAACTGCAAATAGGTTTTCCCATGCGTAGGTGCTAGTCTCAAGGTTTTGACCAAAAGAACTGCAGTAATGAAATGATGAAACTTTTTAGAATAAGATAATATATATATATATATATATATATACCAATGATATTTTACTTTAATCTAATCTAAATTACGAGAATATATCAAACTATATTTATAGTTACGAACCTTAGATGTCGTAGACCCCACCAAAAGCAATTCAAAAACCTCTCTGAAAATTTTGTCGACTGTATCACGCTGTACTGAAGGGCATGAACAAATATACCGAAATTGAAAAGAGTTGCATTTGGTGGATTTATAGGGCATAATTCATTTAAAACTGTGACATTACTGACTGAAGTGTCATCACAACGAAAAGTATTTGGTTCACATCCATTTTCACTTTGACATGCATATTGCCAGCAAGCTATCTCTCGTTGAATAGCAAAAATATACCAAAGGGCTCCTATTACCTGTAATAGCAAACATGTTAGTCAATGAAATTTGGAGTTCAGAGAAAATTATGTTTGAACCATATTTAAACTAAGAATGTAACTCCATTTTATTTTAATATTATTATTTTCAAGTGCCAAACTGAGCGTATAATTTTTATTTTTATTTTTGGGGAAGCAGATTCGAAGACCTACACATATATCATTGTGCGCATATTTAAAGTTAACTAAGATAGTATTGAAACTTACATGACTGGAAAGGATGTACAAGAAGAAATTTAAAAAACTTTTGACCCATACGCCTGCCTTCTTACGAGTCTTCTCACGTTCATGACACAATAGATAGATGGGAAGAACTCGTGGGACATATTGCAACAAAACAAGAGAATTTAGAAACTTCATTGTTTTCAATGATCTTGAGCCCCTCATTTTCAAAAGGAAAATGGAAATTACTACCTGGACAAAAACAACAAAGATTCTTAAGCCAACTGTTAAATCTACTAAAATCTAAGCTCGGACAACCTAAAGTAATCAACTACGACAAATGGAGAAATTGGGAAATCAATCTACTTCATATAGAACTTTTAAACTTACCTGTGGGACGGGCAGAACAGCTAAAATATCAAGTAGGATGTAAAATTGCAAAGTCCTCCGTGAATTCACGGAGTTATTACTTGCTTTCAAAGTAACTGCCTCCTTTACTTTAGGTCTAGTTAAAATTCGATACACCACATCGGCCATATAGAAGAGATCTGCTAATAATCGTAGACCAAAAGATATTGCCTTCAACCTTTTGTCGTATTTGAGGCACTTCCTATCCTCGTTAACGATAGGAATATATAAGAACAAAGGATCCAGTGAGACAGCCAACACACATGATACTATAAATACGGTGTTCCATTCTGGAAAGAATCTCTTTGGTTGAGCATGATTTTGTTCATGTACAACAATGTTCCTTAGTTTGGCCCAGTTATCAGATTTTTTCTTCCAATGATGGACAACTCCTATTGATGAGATTGAACGTTGTACACTGAAAAAGACAAAGCAAATAACAAATTGCGGCCATAAGATAGAAACAAAGAAACATGAGAAGATAGCCGTACGTTCATGCTTCTTCTCTCTTAGATAACCATTTCACGTGATGAGAGAGAAAGACACAATGTTTTAGGATCGCCTTATGTGATGGTTTAAAGCTTTAACGTAAGTTAAATAAACTAACCTGGCAGTGGCAGGTTTCTCCATATCTAAATGTATTTCGCCCTTCTGATTAGCCATAACTTAACCACTCAAGCTTGCTTTTTCCTGATGCAATTAAGGAGCTTTTAAAATCCCACAAAGTTCTGAATGTTGAAACCCCCCCTGCAAAAATGGACAACGGGAGAGTTAAACCAATTATCAATTTGTACTAGAAAATGTGATGAGAGAGAGAGAGAGAGAGAGTTGAAAAACCTTGAAGCTTTGCACTCAGTTTAGGAAGCTTTCCAGTAGCAGGTAGAGCAGAGAGCAGGGGGAGGTATTAGAATTTATATAATGACATGTTTGACCTGAGCTAAGGCAATATTGACAATGGGTTCCTCATCGCAGAGTCTTTTTTTAATAATAAAAAAAAACAAATATTATTTTCCAACTAAGCAACTCGTTTTCCCATTTAACCAAAAAGAAACCTAAGACCTCGGAAATGATATGAGTCTGGACTGGAAACATTAATAAACATTATGTCATGACTCATGTCATGCGTAAACATGCAATTGAAAATTCCATGTGAAGTCAATCAAACTGCTAGACTTTGATCTAAGCATTATGGCATCATGAACAAATCTTTATAGCGAGATTTCTCTCCGCTGTCCTAAACATTAACTTAATGAGCCCTTAATATAAATAAATCAAAACGCAAAACGCGTGAGTGTTTTTTTTGCAATTTTTTTTTCACTAGAAAAAAAGTAAGTTACAAGATGTATGAACGAAGATTGGGCCAATTATATATAAAAGTCAAAGCTTGCAGAACCGTAAGTAGAGTCATGCTGTGTAAGCACAATGACGTGATATGACTACTGCTGGTGCTGATGGCAAATTTCATTCTAGAAACAAAGGTTCATTGTCTCTCTCCTTGTCAACCTACCACCTTTTTATTTCTAGAATTGATCTCCTACTATTTTTATATGGGATATTTAGTTATATACTCATTCTTAGCAAGGGCGAACCTAGGCTTAGGCTAGAGTGGGCTCCAGCCTTGGGGAAGATTTATAAAGTATTGAACATGATTTAAATTTTATAAGCTTTATTCCTACTCTAATAAATATTAGCCCACTCCTAAAGAATATAAGAAATAATAACATCAATTCAAACCTATATAAATTTGATTTAAAAACAGAATTCACGCTTTGGCTCTACCAATATTGGGCTACACTCACAGAGAGCAAATATCAAAAAATTTCTTCTAGCCACCCAAAACGCCATATTTGAACCTTGAGAGCCTAGAGGAAATAGCTCTTCTCCTCTAAAAAATTGTACCAACCTATCTTCAGTGGGTTCTTCAATCTTGGTAAGTCTTTATATATATAATTTCCAATTTTAATTGTTGTTGTTAAGTTTTTATGATTTAGGGTTAGGGTGAAAACTTTTGGAGATTGTTGATATATATTTTATTTTTGCAACTTGAATTATTAATTAGCATATATGATTTTTGAAGTTGGACAATGTGTTTGATTTGGTGTTTATTTATATTTTGTACTTCTTTATGTTATACTTGCTTGTAATGTGGCCATGTTTGATTTATAAAATTTTATTTACATTTTTGTTTCAAGAGAAAAAAAAAAGGCTTATAATATATCTCCTCTATAAAAAAAAATATTTAGCCTATCCCTATAAAAATTCATGAGTCCGCCATTGATTCTTAGCACTAGTGATATAAATAAACCATATACCATTTAATTTTTAGAAACAAACAAACAAAAACCTAAAAATGAGAACTGACCCCATTGAATTTTATTTTAATTATTAAATTACTTTGATGTCTTATTAGGTATTTTGGTTTTTTTATATATTTTATTTTATGAGGTTTTGGGATTGGGTTGTTATAAGGAATCGATGGTAGTTTTGTAATTTATAGGAAATTTGAAGCCTCTTTGTTATGTTGTAAATGAGCTTTGGATGTGTTCCTAAATTTCATTTCATGTGAGGTTTTTAAAAAAAAATAATTTGGGCCCCTATATTGGGTATAATAGTGAATGTGCCCCACATGTAATAATATTGTGAACTTTTTATAAATAATAAGAATATTTGTTCAACTTATTAGGTAAAATAATTCAGATCGGATTATCGGATCCAATATTCGATAATCCAACAAATCGAATATGGATTTAGTTGTGAATGATCTATCAGATTATCATATCAGATTGGGTTGATATTTTTTTTAAGGACAATGTCTTCAAGAAAGGAATTATGCATAAAGCCTAAAGGAAGGGGACGCATTGAATAATTGTAGGTTTTTGGGATATTTACTATTTAGCAAAACATGGTGAGATTATGACGCAACTAGGCCATGTAAATTCCTCGCTTCAGCTAGACAAGTGTGATGTGTAAAATATTTTTAACGCATACAAACTACATAGGGTTTCAACATAATTAACAACAACACATATACTACAGCAATCCTAAAGCTGTCTGTTAGACAATCATCTAAACAGATGGTTGCCGATGCCTGGTTGGTTTTGATTATCTTCATTTACACATATAATCTTTGATCTCCCAGTCTCTAGCAGTTAATACTTCGAACAAATGATCTTGAGTGTAGATATCCACTTTCTTTGATCAAGGTTGATAGAGAATATTTAAACTTGCATAAATTATGTGTGATTGAAGGTCTGTTGTCTCTCTCAGCTCATGGGCGTTGGTTTCAGCGGGTCGTCATTCTCTTTCTCCTCGGTGGGTCAGCTTCTCTCGTGGTTGCCTTTGGTATGGGGGTTTCAGCGGGTCTGCTCCTACTATTGTGCCGACAGTCTCCAAGTCAACAATGATCATGGTGCAAGCTGCTTCTTTGGGGTCGGCGGTCACAGTGGAGGTGGCTTTCCTCACGCCCCCTCCATAGTCCGATCTGTGATCTCAAGCCTTACCTTCAAGAGAAGACGGCCGTTGTCCAAAGATTTGGCGTGGGTGACTCTTCCCCGAGGGTCTATAGTTTTGATCCTCCTTTTCACAGTGTTGGGCCAGGTTTTTGGCAACGAGGGTTGTTGGTACCATCCTTTTACCCATCTTTACGGGTTTGGCTGGTTACTTTGCGATGGGAACTGCAAATTCGGGTGATGTTGGTGTCCTTCTTGACAAACCTATAGAGATTGGCCCAGTGAAGTCTTCTGGACACCTTCCTTAATGTTTTCTTGGAGCATTCATGGGCTTGACATTCGACGAATGCTCTTATGCCTGATCCCCGTGTTCAAGTTAAGTGGCTAGGCCATTTTTGTTATTATTGCGTGGTGTTTTCTTTGTTCTCCCCTTAACTGATATTTGATTCTCTGCCTATCTCAAGGACTATGTTTTCATAAGAGGTGTTTTTGTCAGTGTTGAGATGATATGGCGTGCTTGGGAGCTTTTTTATTTATTTTATTTTCTGGCATGTTTGCAGTTAGTCTCTTCTTTATGTTGCTCCTTGCATATTTCTCTTATTTCATCACCAATAGCTATTGGATGTGGCTAGAGATGGTGTGCTAGTGGTTGTTTTCTTTCTTTTTGGTGTATTGTGTTCTCTGTCGGATGTTCTCACTGTCTTGTGGCTATGCAAAGGACTATCATTTCATATTAGGACTTTTTTGACAATTGAATTTTGTTGTAGTGTTTTTGTCGGAGGTCTTTGCGTCGAAAGGTCTATGTGTCAGTTTGTTGTTTTATTTTATATTGCCCTAGCATTGGTCCTGCATGACTGTTTTAGACTCTCTTGTTAGTCTATGACATGTGTGGTACTCTTTCCTACCTTGAGGTTTGTCCATCAGGAAGCTTTTAACGAGGTCGCTGTTTTGTGTCATTATATATACGCTACTTTGATTCTATGAATGAATTCCATTTCTCCAAAATATATATATATATATATATATATATATATATATCACTATAATCCTGGGTCATAACAATTGATTTCACTTTTCAATAGAAATATGATCTATTAATCAATTACTACTTTAAAATTTTTGCTTAAGTAAATTTTCAGTTGTTTGCTAAGAATATCAGTCATCAAATTCAAATTTAGTTGGATAACATGGAATATTACATACATACATTTATGTAGAGTTTTTCTATTTAAACCCCCCACTTCTTTTTGTTCGCCCCATATTCTAAGTTCACCCCAACTTCAAATTCAATTTTTCTCAATTTCTAAGCAAACCCTACTATCTTCCCAAACTACCCCTAAATACACACTGATCTGGAAAAAAAATAAATTAAAAAACTCATCAACCTCACACCCGGCACCCCGCTATCTTTCCCCTCAATCTCATAATTACAAAAAGTCTTTAATCACAACATCCTTAATAATTCTGGGAGTCCAAAACCAAGAAATAATCTCACATTATATACCTCAATTGACGACCATATGCCACTATTTGCATACCGTATTTAGGGTTTGTGATGAGAAGATGAGAGTGTAGTAGGTTTGTTGGATTGAAAGAGAAGAATAATCTGGCAATAGGGTGTAGAGGAGTTCATGTTTTTCTAAAACTTAATATGAAGAGTGGTGGGGTGTGTGTATAGACATACTAGGGTTAAGTATTAAGTTGGATGACCTTTTTTGTCTTTTTACACAATAATAAAACTTAAGAGCTTAATGACTTAAGTATTGGGATGAACAAAGAAAAGTGTGGTGTTTAAATAGAAAAAATCTATATGTATGTGTATATATATAGTCTTCATGTCGTGTGGTTATTGCTGGTCATGAATCATGGTGTCCATGCACCTTAGATCTACCAAACAATATTAATGCACCTTTATTAGACTAAATAGTTTGATTAAGTCATTATATTGAGTATTAATACTGCATTATGAACACACGCGCATATATATATATATATATATATATATATATACACGTGTCTATTTACTGTTGAAGTGAGTCTCCTAATTAATCAAGGAGATTTATTTCCTTGATTAATTAAGGAATTTACTTTACTATTTTATATAGTTGTCAAATCATTGTATAATTAGGAGATACTTTCCTAATCATTTACTGTATCTAATTCCTTGTAAAGCACTCATGTAAACTCTTATATATACCTCCTTATGGAGAAGAA